GGTTCTCATTATTTTAAAATATTTTGTAAAAATGATGTGTTGCCTTTTAGAAAAAAAAAAAGAAAGTAGACTTATGATATCACAATGAAAATTTTACAAATCTGTTTCTTCTTAATTTAATTTCTTAACAGAAAAAATATGGGAAGGAATTTGTTGGGAAGGAATGTAGGATTAGATTCTACAATCATCCCAGTTAAAATATGCACAGACACACATTCACATGAGCATGTGAGCACACACACTTTGTTAAAGGACCTTCAGCTGAAGCAACTGTGATCTAATATCTAATGAAGCAGGAAGCCACTGATTCCAGTTTTGGGTTTGGAGCAATTCTGTCACCCACAAGAAAAGTTACACTTGGAATGACTTTTTTTGCCTGTGAAATGGCAAAAGGACCTTTTATTTAAGGCAATATACTGGATATATATTCAGAGGCATTTCAAATGAACAGTTTCTGTAACAGAAGCAAAAAGAGTGCAATCTAGCACAGAGCAGTTTCTGTAAGTTCAAACAGGATTTTTTTTATTGTTATTATGTATACTTGCATTAATGATTATTCAGTGCTTCAAGATATGAACTTCACTGCCCAGGAGGCTGTAATGTTCCACATATAAACATCAGGCTCCCACAGTTTTCAAGAACCTATACATTGGCTTGCTCAGCTGAATTCTTCTGTCACACACAGCATCCATTATATATTAACTACACTTTCTTATTGCAGATAGCTGGTGACAAACACAGTTAGCAATCCAGTATCTGTGGCTCTGAAAACATTTTAAAAGAACCTTATCAACATAGATTCATCCTGACTTAAATGAAAACAGAAATGGTGCTAAAGGCCTCCAGTGTCTAACCTAGAAGGAAAAATAACCTCCTAAAAACAAACCAGTAAGAACCAAATATTTTCATTGAAACAAACAAAATACTAAAACCAAACAAATAAAAAAACCTCAAAAACCAGAAAATAACCCTGCTTCAGCAGTTGGTCAGTTGGCTTGCACAATGTGTGTTTTCTTTAAAGAGGTGATGAGATTTGGGGGGGG